CCCCCTTGCTCACAGCCCCCCTCCCACCCGGCAGAGGCAGCTGTTCTTCCGGAAGAAACTGCTGCAGGCATCGCAGACACTGCGTGCGGCCTCGCTGGGCCAGGACCGGTACCAGCGCCAGTACTGGGTGCTGCCCCACCTGGGCGGCATCTTCGTGGAGGGCACTGCAAGTGCTGCAGGTCAACAGGGATGGGTCCACCTGGGGGGGTGCGCCAGGGCCTCGGTCTCATTGGGGATGGGATTCTCTGCTGGGGTGCATGGGGGCCCCCCTTCACCCTTCCCTTCACCCTCCAGCCATGGAAGATGCTCTAAAGCCAGAGCTGCTGCCAGATGAGGCACCCCCGCCCCCCACGGTGAAGCCGGAGCCCGCAGAGACACCAGTCAGCGGCCGACCCAGCTGTGCAGCGGTGCGGGCACGGGGCCGGCCCCGCAAGAGCCGGGAGGAGCCGGTGGGGCCCCCCCCTCAGCCCCCCCCCAACGGGCTGCTGGAAGAGCCGGGGCCAGGGCTAGGGCTGGGCCAGCACGACCTCACACAGTCAGCCTTCCTGTCCTGGCTGAGCCAGACACAGGCCGCCCTGCTGCACAGTGCTGTGCTCACCCCTGAGAGCAGCCCCGGGGCAGGGGATGCGGGGCCCCCCCCTGCCCCATCCCCAGGGCCCGAGGACAGCACCGCTGACCAACCAGGGGGGCCTTGGTTCAACCTGCTGCCCCGCACGCCCTGTGCCAACCCCACGGGCCCCATCACTACCTCCCCTCTGGACCAGCCCACAGCCCCAGGCAGGCAGGTATGTGCCAGCAGGGCAGGGGACCGGGTAGGAGGCGGCAGGGACTTGGGGAGCTCCCAGCCCACCCCCACCCGTGATGGGCTCTGATTTGATCTCTTTCTTCTCCCCACCGCCCCCCCACCAGCCCAGCGGCCTCCCTGGCCACGACAGCCCCACGTCGCCCCCTCCTGCATCTGCCCCCACCAGCCCCCGGCCCCATGGCACCTTTCCCCAGGGCCGTGGCAGCCTGGAGAAGACCCCAGAGGCACTGGGGCCCGGGCAGCCCAAGCGCCGTGGCCGTCCCCCCACCAAGTTCTTCAAGCAGATCGAGCAGAAGTACTTGACCCAGCTGATGGCGCAGCCTGTACCCCCAGGTACAGACCCCTGCCCCCACAGTCCATGCCTGTGTCCATAGGTACCGACCCCCAACTTCCCCCTAACCTGTCCCATACTGGAAACCACCCAGCCCCCTACCCCCAGAGCCTGAGTGCCAGCTAAGGACCCCAACCAACCCTTCCAAGCTGGGGAGTTCCCGGCCCCTTCCCCCACAGCCCATGAACCCCTGCATCCTCCTCACCATGCACACTGGGGACCCCCCAGGCCTCCTCCCCACAGCCCCCACCACCAGGCGTGACTTGTCACATGCCTAGAGCATGTTTCACCCATCTGGCAGATGAGTCTAGTTTGGGGGTGCAAGCTCCCAGCCCCTCCTCTCACCCCCCTGCCTGAACTCATGGGTTCCTAGAGGGCAGCGAAGCATCCCCCTCCCCCTAGTGGCAGGCCCCAGGAGGCAGTGCTGTGCGTAGGCACTGAGGTGTTCCCCCCTCCCCCGACACCCTCCGCAGAGATGCAGAGTGGCTGGTGGTGGCTGCGGGAGCCCGAGGAGCTGGAGGCAGTGGCACGGGCCCTGCACCCCCGTGGCATCCGTGAGAAGGCACTGCACAAGCACTTGGCCAAGCACAAGGACTTCCTGCGTGAGGTCTGCCAGCGCCTTCCCACTGGTGAGGATCCCTGGCCCCAGGGAGGGGGTGGGCAGGTGGCAGGGGCCCACTCCCCATGCTGACTTCCCTCCCCTCCCCCCCACGCCTCTCCACCGCCCAGACCCCATCTTCCAGGCAGGCACAAGCCCTGCGGCCCCGGCAGGCTGGTCGGCAATGGAGCGGGCCTTTGAGGCAGACCTGGACGTGCTGCGGCGGG